TGGGGCCCATCTCGGTTGCTAAAGGGGTGTCTCTTTTGGTGTCTCAGATCATATGCTTTTTAGAAAAATTTTTAGAAATCAAAGTTTTTACTTAGACTTATAATAATGTGACTCGATTGCTTTCCATTTTCTTCTACATATAAAATACTTTAGAAAGTGTCAACCTAAAATAACAGAGAAGCTCTCCAGCAAAATGAGTTTGTTTGGAAAGGAATGACAGGGGATTGCAATCTGGGAATTCCTGTGCTATGGAGAACCATGGCTGGGCCATAGATGTATTCAGGAAGGCAAGGAAAGTCGAGAGTTTCTTAAAGGCAAAATGAGGAAGGCTATCTTAAGTTATTTTGAAATACTTTTCCCTGGCTACAAGGATCGGTAACAACAGTGGCATCAGTCTGAAGTTGAACAGGCTGGGTATTGTTCTTGCAGAAGCAGTTTGTTTTTTTTTTTGAGATGGGGATGCCACTCTGTTGCTCAGACTGGCCTTGAGCTCCGGGGCTCAAGCAATCAGGTCTTTGTGCAACGCCGTGGTTTTCAGAGTCCTTATTACAGTTTCTGTGCTAGGCACGCGTGCCTGAGAGCCCCTCCTCTGTTGCCTATGATCCCATTTTGGTAGGATGTTGCCTAAGTGACTCCATTTTGGTTCTCATGGCTTTCACAAAAGCATTACTTGCCAATCCTTGTATCTTTAGGGTGACCCTATAACTTTATGTTTAATTCTAACTGATCTGTACCCCAGTTGGTTTGTATATATGCACATCTTAGTTCCTTGAGAATGCTGGAGAGCCAGGTGTGGCATTTGCACCTGCACTACAAAATTATGTTACATGATACCATTTTTTATAGTACATGATACACATGTAAATATGATATTTACAGCTCACATTTCATTGGTTGCATTTGTGCTGTTTCCTAACGGTGCCTACAGAGGCTCCTTCCAGCAGGTACACAATCTCCCTCATTAGGCCATCACAGCTCAGAAGACTTCTCTCTAAGCAACTGAACTCTCCCAAGGCCAGACTGTTTCCTGCTCTGGGCTCCTCCCATCCTCCTGTCTTGGCTTAGCCTGTCTGACTCTGACTCTGTTCCTGAGCTTACTGGGAACAATTGTGCTAAACGGAAGGGCCAGGCTAATGAGCAACATTGTCACTGTCTCCCAGGTCCCCCAACCCCATTTTCTAAGCAGTTGTTAATTGAGAAAACTAAAGAATTATGGGGCTATGATGGCCCTTGTGTTTTGTAAGAGTCATGCTGAAGAAACACCTTATGTGCTGCTTAAATCAAACAGTGGAGTCATGTTTTGTATTAAAGACAAGCACCTGCAGAAAAGAGCTCACC